GACAGGAACAGCGTGGCCAGCAGGACCAGTGGAGTGATCGTGCTCCTGTATTCAGCACTGGTGAGGGTGCATCTCAAGTATTGTGTTCAGTCTGGGCCCCTCACGACAAGAAAGCCACTGAGCTGCTGGAGCGTGTCCAAAGAAGGGCAGCAAAGCTGGTGAAGGGTCCAGAGCACAAGCCTCATGAGGAGCAGCTGAAAGAACTGAGGTTGTTTAGCCTGGAGAAGAGGGAGCCGAGGGGAGACCTTATTGCTCTCTAGAACTGCCTTAAGGCAGGTTCTGGAAAGGTGGGATCAGCCTGTCTAACCAAGTAGCAAGTGATAGGATGAGAGGAAGTGGGCTCAGGTTGCATCAAAGGATGTTTAGGTTGGATATTAGGAAGAATTTCTTTACTGAAAGGGTTATCAAGCATCGGAACCTGTTGCCCAGGGAAGTGGTGGAGTCTCCATCCCTGGAGGTGTGTGCTTAGGGATATAGTGCTTAGAGATGTGGTTTAGTCGAGGACTTGTCAGTGTTAGGTTAGCTGTTGGACTTGGTGGTTTTAAAGGTCTTTTCCAGTCTAGGCAATTCTGTGAATGCTAAATTGAGTTTTGAGGTTACTCTATACTTTAGATATCACTATTCTTGACTTATATAAGTTCTTCGTGTCACTGCAGGGTAATAGAAGAAAAAACCCCCATGATGTTCAGAGCAGTGGAGTGACTCAGGAAATCAAGGATACTCAGGACAATAGTGGAGGATAGTGTTAGAAGAAGAATGTTTGGCAGACAGTGACTGCAGGATCTCAGGTGTAAGTGGTCCTAAATATTTCAGGATTATGAGAGGCTCAGTTTGCTCTGCTATTTCTGGCATTTATTCTGAGGTATCTGACTTCCTTCAGTATGGCAACTGGCCTCACTTCTTGGATGAGCATTGCTCATGTATGTTGATAGCTTACTCCTGCTATCTGTGTTAAAGGAGTGGATTGGTGTAAAGCATTTGTAATTTGTGTCCTCAGTGATTAAGAAGCTAGTAGTAGTAATAGTGTGACCGTATTAAGAACAGATCTACTAAGAACTATTGAGATGAATAGGAAATGCTCTGCTGTTATCCAGTAGGTGATTTTCCTGTGTCATCATTTTGAGTCTTTCCTGGAAGAGCTTTTTAGGAACCGTGTAGTAAAATAGACTGCTATGTGTAGATAAATATGAAACTACACATTTAAAAACTTTCACATTTTGTCTTTGCTTTTTTACCTGAAATTTGTGATGAAATTCAGTTTTGCTGATGGCCTGTGCTTCAAGTATCATTGGATTTACCTAAATAAAAAAATTCTAATACTCTCAATTTAAGTCAGTGTAATAAAACTGGATCTTTGTTGTTTGAGAATCTGCAGGCTTCAACCAATTTAAATGGATGAAACTTCCTTAGTGCAGGATCTTACATTTAGTTATACAGCTTGTGATCAAGTAGCCTGATTCATCCATCCGCGAAAAGAATTTCTGTTTGTGGATTAAATAGTTTTGTGTATGTGTCAGTAACAGGAAAGTGTGCAAAATCCACTCCATATGACAGTACGTGAAGTTGATTCCCTGAAACTTTCTAGTTTATGTTACACAAAAGCTTATGTTGAGATTTCAGTGTTTGAATTTGTGTGGTTTCTGTTTGTGTAGACATTACATACACTTCATTTTGTACATTTTGAATCGCTCCTCTTTCTTCCTTACAGGTTTTGTTCCACGTGAAAGAATTAAATGATTGAAACTATAGATACTTACAGTTTCTTCTTGCAAACAGTCAGCATCAATATGGAGGTGTAGACACCTTAGAAGGGACTTCAGTCTGAACTCTGGGAGGTAGTTCTGTGCACAAATAAAGAAACTAAGGTATCACAAATTATTATTATTCTTTTTAAATCTGAAGATTCTGGTTTTTTTCTGCGTGCCATAAACATGGTATACAGAAAAAACTTAATTCAGCAGTATAAAGCATTAAAATGTTGCGACACAAGGCAATTAAATTACGTTGAGTTTGATAACTTCATACTTGTAACTAAGGCACCAGGTTAAAACTGAAAAGCTCTGTTCAGTCTGTGCTGACAGTGAAAAGACAGAAAAGCCTGGGGCTTTTAATCAAGACAGTTCATCCTTGTTGGAGACAGCATATAGGATTTTTTTTTTATCTCATAGCTGAATATTCAATATGTGTGAAGTTGAATATAAATTCTTTAGTCTTAAAAACTAATTACAACAGTGTGCAGAAGTTGACTTTTTTTTTTTTTGACTTTTTTTTTTTTTTTGGAAGCCTAGTAGTAGCAAATATACCAGGTTGGTTCAGTAATGTCAATTCAGGGTTGTTTTTTTTTTCATATGACATTTGAGCTTGGTAACCTGTTATTTTCAGCTTCCTAGTGAGTTTTTACAAACTAAAAACTTTACATGCGTATGAATATTTAAAGCTATATTTATCAGCTGTCTAGGGTGAAACGTCTGTTCTGGTTCAAAATGGTGCTGTTTTAGTTGGCCCCCATTTTAGTTTCTTTATTGACAAAGGATTTTGATAAAACCATTAGAGGTTTTCCCCCCTGGGTCCCACCTCCAGTAGCCTGGCAAATTGATGCTGCTCTCCCCGACACACAGTGCAGGGAAAGCACGTGATGCCTGCGTGATTCGAGGGAAAGTCCTTTTTGACGTGCTTTCTTCAGGTGTCAGAGTGGGATGGGGCAGCTTCTGCACTGCAAGCAGTTGTGTAAAGTACAAGAACTTCCCACAGTCATTCACGTACTCATTCAACATTGCACATTAGAGTCTTTAATTTTCAAGTTGTTACTTTTGTACGGACAGGGATTATTCTGCAATGCCTTTAGTGCACACAACTACCTCCCAGAGGAAGACTTGTCCCATTCTTCCAAAAATAGTCCATTATGAACATAATGGAAGATAGCCATTTCTTGGCTAGCATCACGAAGCAGAGTGCTTTGTGTTGTGAACTGAAGTATGACTTATCCTGTGAGCTCTACAGAATATCGACGTTTTCTACTTTCCCCACTAACGTGCCGGTGTCGGAACGGAGTCTTGCCCGAGCTGGGTTTTATTACACTGGAGTGCAAGATCAAGTGAAGTGCTTCAGTTGTGACTTAACTTTGGACAACTGGCAACCGGGAGATAATGCGATGGAAAAACACAAACAGCTGTATCCTAGCTGCAGTTTTGTTCAAAACGTGCTTTCAGCTAACAACCTCGGGCTGTCCTCTCGGTCTGCCTTTTCACCTCTGGTCACAAGCAGTCTCTCGCCATCTCTGCAGTCCATAACGCTTTCTCCAAGTTTAGAACAAGTTGGATATTTCAGTGGCTCTTTTTCCAGTTTTCCTCAAGATCCAGTAACTACTAGGGCAGTTGAAGACATTTCATTCTTGAGACCTAAACTTCACAATCCTTCGATGAGTACAGAAGATGCTAGACTACGCACTTTTCACTCATGGCCACTCACGTTTCTCTCACCCGCTGATCTGGCAAAGGCTGGGCTTTATTACTTGGGGACAGCAGACAAAGTTGCTTGTTTCACCTGTGGCGGTCAGCTGAGTAACTGGGAACCCAAAGATAATGCTGTGTCAGAGCATCGGAGACACTTCCCTACCTGCGCTTTTGTGGAAAACCTTACCCGAGACCAGCTGAATTTCAGTGTTTCAAATGTGAGCATGCAAACCCACGAAGCACGTGTCAAAACATTCATCAATTGGCCAAGCAGAATCCCCGTTCAGCCCGAACAGCTTGCAGATGCTGGCTTTTACTACGTAGGTAAGAAGAACTGAAGTGTCCATTTTGCATTGCTATGTCAGCATTTGTTTTAAAGTAAATGGTGTGAATGTTTTGCTATATATTTTTCCTTTTTTTTTTTAAAGGCCGCAATGATGATGTTAAGTGTTTTTGTTGTGATGGTGGGTTAAGGTGCTGGGAATCTGGAGATGATCCATGGATTGAGCATGCAAAGTGGTTTCCAAGGTAACTTGCAAAATCTTTGTGGTAATTTGTTCACGTTCTTAAATACTTCTAATTTTGGCCAGTATGTAATGCACTTAATAGTTTTGTTTAACTTCACCGCGTGAGGTACAGTTGGTTGTATTTCATATACCTCTTTTTAAAAGCTCTGAAGGGCTAAGGTGGCATTAAAACATTCCGTCATTAAGCATGATACTTAATGCTTTCCACTTCATAATTCAGAGCTGTGTGCATCCCCGAATTACTATTAGCAAGTGAGACTGCACTGTTAATGAACATGCTTATTTAAGAGAAGCAGACTAAGGAGAGAAAAAGCTGCTGGGAAATGAAGTGGAAGGAACATGGAACTCCCTCAGTCTAGTTCTGTGCCCATGCTGAGTGCTGCTAAGAACCAGTTTTTCAGCTCGTGGGGTTTAGTTTCTGAGGTGTGGAGAGGCATGTGAAGAAGGTTTCAGCAGCTGTTTCGTATGTCTCTGTTGGAAGAAATGACAGTTGTAACTTTTTAATGTCCCCATAATTAAATTTCAATTGCATACCTTATTGCTTGCTGTCTGTGGAAATCACCACCTACATTAATGACAGAAATAGCTTTCCTGAAATTAAGTGTAGCTAATAATAATTCTTCACATCATTGATCTCCAACTGATCTTTCATAATCTTTCATGGACAGTTTACCAACCTCTGTTGGAGTAGATAATGTACGTGGAGTTAAGCAACATCTTTGTTTCCTTCTGTTATGCCTGTCGGCAAATGGTCTTAAGAGATAATAGCTGTGTTAGTGAAGCAGATCTGACTTTGGTAGTGGTATTAAATTTTGTTAACTTCTTTCGAATGATTTGAGTAGGAGATAGTGGTGAGATGTGAGATAGAAACAGATTATCACTGCACTTCATAGTGACACTGACACGGTACCGTTTCTCATGATGGACCACTTTGATGAGAAGCTGGGGCAGAGTGTAAAGCTGCTGCACTTGTGTACGCGAGCCTGCTAGCTGCTGAACATCATGGAAAAGCTTTATCTAAGTGTCACCAGACAGTAGGCTACATCAAGCTTCCAGTTAAAAGGTCTCTTTTCTTTCTGAACAGAGATGTGTATTTAAGTTAAGCTGTGTTACTGTAAATTGTTTCATTCTTCTGTGTTGTTGCTTTTTTTTTTTCTTTTGGCAAGTAGAAAGTATAGTTCAGCATGCTTTTTCAATGTTTCAGGTGTGAGTATCTGCTTCGTGTAAGAGGAGGAGAATTTGTAAGTCAAGTTCAGGCCAGGTTCCCTCATCTTCTTGAACAGGTAAACTTTTCTGGAACTTCGGTTTTCCGTTGTTGAAGTGCCAGGTTCTTTCAGGTTCATCCTTCTGCCTCATTTCTGCATATATTTCTGCTAGGTTTCTAACACAATAAATGCTCTTCATGAGCACAGAACTGAAACCCGTGCTGAACCATGGCAAATGGACTTGAACTACTAGATTTTAACCTGGACAGATTACTTATTGAAAGTGTTATGAGGCAGTGAGCTCCTTTGTCAGGAAAGGATTATGTAAGTTGCAGTGAATCATAGAACAGGTAGTGTTTTGGGCTGGAAGGGACCTTTAAAGGTCATCTGGGCCAACTCCCCTGCAGTGAGCAGGGACATCTTCAACTAGATCAGGTTGCTCAGAGCCCTGGACAGCCTGACCTTCAATGTTTCCAGGGGTGGGGCTTGTACCACCTCTCTGGGCAACCTGTGCCACTGTTTCACTGCCGATCAGTAATTGTTATTTCAGAAACCAGTCATGAACAGCCTGAATTATTTGTACCAGTAACTCTTCTGGCAAGAGTAAGCTGAACTTCTCTTTGTGAAAGTGGTCAGCACTAGCTATAGAAAGCTGTGCTGATTCTATAGCTGCACAGGTATGCAGAGTTGTGCAAGTGCGTGTAAAATGCTTAATGGGTACCATCCAGATAAAGAATTCAGCATGTTTTATGAGGGAAGAACGTGTTAGAAAGATATGTAGTGGTAAAAGCAATACTTTGGTACTAATGTAGTTTTGTTATGTTCCACAGCTCTTGTCAACGTCTGATACGCCTGTAGATGATCCACCAAGTATGTATATTAAAGCTTTTTTTTTTTAAACTTCCTCAGCATTGTGCAAACTTACAGATTGGCTGTCCAAAGCTAATTTGCCTAACAATTCTTAGATTTTCTTAGAAACAACAACATTGTAAGGATTTTTCTAACTAATAAAGTTAGGTAACTTCTGCGTTACATGGACAAGCTTCAGGGATGGATCTTTAAGAGATCTTGTCTTTCGTTTTTCTTATTTTCATGCTAGCAACTTATATTAAGACTTTTAGTTTTGAATACTTGGCATCTGCTGTATTTGTGGGTTTTATTTCATGGTTGGGTTAAACAAGATAAATCAATTTGGTATGTGTTAAATTGACCTGTGGTATTGAACTGGGTGGAACAGTTGCCAGAGGATGTCCTGACTGTGTAGTTACACAACTCTGTTTAGGCACGTAGCCAGGTAAATGCTCTGAGCTGAGCAGCAGCGGTCAAGGAGAGGGTAGGACAAGCTGATAGTGAACTCTTTTCGAGCTGCACTCTAGTTACGGTGCAAATAAACTCCTGCCAGGAGGTGAGTGGGTTACTCTGTTAAGAGTCCCTGCTGGTTGAGGACAGTGAGTCAGAATAACATGTGCCTAGTGCTTAGTAAGTTGAGTGGAAAATACTGATCAAGAGCTGGAATAGACCAATTGTTTGTACTATGAACTCAGAATTTTGATAATTTCCCCCTCCCCCCCCAAGACATTTTTCAAGACTGAAGTTAGAGATTGCTAAGTATAAAAAAAGCTGCTGAGACACAGTGGAATTTTCTGGTTTCTCTGGAATTCTCTGTGGTTTCTCTGGGTTATCCAAGCTTTTAGTGAAGGCCTGACGTGGATTGAAGTTTATCACGCACTCAATCCAGTTGAATTTAAGTAACTGGCTTCCATTTTTAAAACTAACTACTGAAGTCCATTGAACCGTTGAAACTATTTAATGCCAGGTATTCATCTGTGTGTGTGTAGGTAGTGTTGATGTGTCTCAGTTCTGGGTCATCTAGGCATTTTATTCTTTATATTACACACAGTGATTTTCTTTTTTAATTAGTTATTCATTTTGAACCTGGAGAGAATCATTCAGAAGATGCGATCATGATGAACACACCTGTGGTTAAAGCTGCCTTGGAGATGGGATTCAGTAGAAGGTTAATAAAACAAACAGTGCAGAGTAAAATCTTGGCCACTGGAGAAAACTACAAAACTGTGAATGATCTTGTGTCTGATCTGCTCACTGCGGAAGATGAGAAGAGGGAAGAAGAGAAAGAGAAGCAGTTTGAAGAAGTGGCATCAGGTATGCATAAGGCATGAATAAAAGTGGAAGCAGAAGTGGTTTGTATTATATATAGTTTTTATAATTGCTTTTATTCCCAAAGCGATTTAGTTGAATTGTTGTTAGGATCAGCTTCTGGAAAAACATTATCAGGGTGTCTGTATGGAACTAGCAGTCTGGGAATTGTTTCATTCCCTTTCAGGAGGAGGATTCAGGCAGGTGCCAGAGGTTCACAATCACCTGATTCTCCCCAAAGGCATATTTTTTAAAACTTGTGTGCCTTTATATTGGTGTTAATAAAAGAACTGTAATCAAAATACTGTTACTTGGCACACTCTACTATTTTTTGTTTTTTCCCAAATTTTCTTGTTCTCTAAGCTACTTCAGTCAGTGAGCCATCATACCCAGTAACAGAATCTAAATTTGTAAAAGTTTATAAGATTGCCAAAGGTCTGCTTTTCGCTGTCTCACGCAACCATGTGCGTCAGCTGTTCAGCAGTGTTTATTTGATGTATCTTTAACATTTCCTGTGGTTTAATACCATGTAAATTTTGAAGCCTAAAAAAATCCTACTGTATTTGAGTCTGTGAAGCAGTAATGAAACTTCTCAATTGTAAACTGAATTAAGACTGCTTCTTTGCTACTTGCACATTCTATCAAAAAAGCATAGATGGATTCAATCTAGAATTGGAATCCAGGTGTTAAATCTTAATGGAAATGATTTTCTTTTATTGTTGTTTGTGATAGACTGTTTGAAAAAAAAAATCTCCCAGGTCTAGTTGTGCTGTACTTCTGGTTTTCTTGCACATAACTCGGTTGAACGCGTCTTGGAAAAACTGGAGCCTGTCTCCGGCTCAGACATGGTTTTGACTGTCGCTGACTGAAGTTAACCTGTTGGTTGTCAGTGAGTTAGCGTTGGTGTTAGGCAGAGGTGTTGGTGGGGTTTTTTTTTTTTTGGTTTTGTGGGTTTTTTTCCATTTCTGCAGGGAACATAAATCTTACTAGGGTGAGGTTAGACAAGTTCCGCTCACATAGTGTAACCCATAGATGAGAGCAGGAGGTTTCACTGGTGAAGACGCTTCAGCTCAGAAGTTGCTTGTATGTGGTTTTCTCTTCAGGTGAATGCCGCTAAAATTTACTGAGATCTTTATTAATGATGTGTAGTAAGCAAACCTTTGAAATAGAGTTTAAAGAATGCATCAATTATTGTTAATTAGAAATGCAACTTGGAATATTCCTAAGAAATAACTCATCCCTTTTGCATTCCAGATGATTTGTCCTTAATCCGGAAGAATCGAATGGCTTTATTCCAACGTTTAACGTGTGTACTTCCAATCCTCGGGAGTTTGCTGTCAGCTAATGTCATAACAGAACCGGAGCATGATGTTATTAAGCAAAAGACTCAGACATCACTGCAAGCAAGGGAACTGATAGATACAGTTTTAGTGAAAGGAAATGAAGCAGCCAGCATATTTAGAAACTGTCTGCGAGATTGTGACCCTGTGCTCTACAAAGATTTATTTGGTATGTCTGTCCGTTTTGTTATTTGTCTTTTTTTTTATTCTAAAGGATGTAAGCTTATCGACATCTAACCAGTGCTGTCATAGCAATGTAAAGATAAAATCAGATGCTATTTTGAATATAGATTAGTCAAATAACTAGGATTATTTATTCTCTTATTTTAGTGGAGAAGAACATGAAATATATTCCCACAGAAGATGTTTCAGGTACCTCAAACTCTGCTTTTGTTCTTTAAAGGGTATTGTGGGACAACTAGCTAACATCCTAGCAAAGAAAATTACTTTGGTTAAAAAGCAGGTTTTATACTCTCCCTAATTCTGCTTAGGTAGGATGGACTTCCCTGAAAAAGTTAAGTGCATGCGCAGACTTGCCCTAAGCTGTGTCCTGTGCCTTCCACGTTCTTCTGCACCACAGGAGGTAGAGCTTTCTGGAGCTTGAACAGTCAGGCACATGCTGGGCTTTGATCCTGGTACGAGCTCTCATTTAGGTGTTTGGTAAAGACTGGACAGAGAATACATAGTGTTAGCATTTCACAGCAGGTGTCATCATCTACTTTCTGAGAATGGGTTACAGGTGTCCGAAGATCTAGCTTGACAAACAGTGGGCAGGTAAAAACTTGTCAGACGTGCAAGTGAGTTTGCACTGGGTCTTAGTCCTGTGGTTTAATATGTTAGTAGGCTGCAGAAAAGTATATGGGCCTGAGTATAGCTCACTTCCACAGGTCAGGCTGTGCTCTGCACTTCTGGTATTCAAGCAGGAGAAGTACAGCATTTGGCAAATGTAAATTTGGTAAAAAGCATTGGTTGATCTTGAACTACACTCCCTAAGCTGTTTGTCATCTCCTGGAAGTGGCAAGTACAGGCTACTTGCTTGCATGTTGCTTTTTGAGCTCTGGAAAATGTGCTTATTTTCTTGCTGCCATCTATATTTAGCAAATAGAGATAGGGAAATTCTTACTAGAATGCACTTATATTCAGGCTTCCCCAATATTTTTTTTTTTCTAGGTTTACCCATGGAAGAACAATTAAGAAGGCTGCAAGAGGAAAGAACATGTAAAGTTTGCATGGACAGAGAAGTTTGTATTGTTTTCATTCCATGCGGTCACTTAGTGGTGTGCAAAGAATGCGCCCCCTCCCTCAGAAAATGCCCTATTTGCAGGGGGACAATAAAGGGCACAGTTCGTACATTTCTTTCGTGAAGTGGGAAACCTGCAAAATGTCTTTGTTCCTGTTATCCTCCAGCTGCTGAAATTTAAGCCAGCAATGTCTTCAAAATGGAAAATTGTCATACGGAAGATGATTAACCACCTATCTAACACTATCTAACGTTGTGTAATAGCAAACCGTATCATCGTTGTGAGTGTCCTAGATCTTCCTTGCCAAAGACTATTTCTGTTCATAAATCTAACTCAATTCTAAGGTGGGACTTTTGTAGGTTTCCTTTGAGTAAGGAAAACAGTTTCCCTAGTATGCTCTTGTGTCTCTGAATAAAATACTTTCTGAATGAGTTCCAAAACGGAGCTTGGCTTAACTATTTTCATGAGGTTTCCGCCATGTGGATGTGAGGAAATACACTAAGATTGCTGTTTATCAACCATTAATATTAATTAACTTGAGCTACTATTTTGGTTCTGGGTTTGTTTTCCTGTGGATTTGAGAAACAAAGAGGTGGACTGTTGCAGGAACAGCTGGACTTTTTTTCAAGTTTTGTTCATGTCTAGATACTTATGTAATGTAATATTACCTGTGTAATAATAGTTTATATGAAGACGGAATTAAAATGTTTCTACTTCTCAAATGAGTGCTTGTTTACTCTGTTCCTATTGTTTGCTTTTGTCTGTAGACTGCAGTGCCTAGAATGCTGTATTTTCCTGACAAAAGTTTGGGGTGGGTTGTTTGCCCACAGAAATACTTTAAAACTTAATTCAGTGTGTCTTTTAATTTATTTTTGAACAGAGAAGTGAGCTTATATGCTACTTGGTGATTCCCTCTGATAAAGCAGGGGTTTCAGATTTTTATCCATATTTAAAAATAAACAAAAGCCCCGGAAAACCCCAACAGCACGTGGTACTTCCTCGTCTTGATTTCGCAAAGGACAGAAATCCTGGCCAGGAATGGTTCTCATGACCTTAGAGATGAGGCAGAGAGTAATGAAAAGCCGGCATAGCACTTGTGTGCAGGATTAAAATGTAAAAGCTGCTTTTCTCTGGAGCTTTATGATGATTGTGTAATTAAATAGTAGGATCTTGTAGCCCCCTCTGAAGTCTTGGGGCTTGTTTTGTAAGCTGGTAGTCTAGGAACTCCTCTTCATTTACTGGTTGACCCTTATTTTACCCTTTTCAACTCTGTATTCCTAGACTTAGAAAGAGAATACCTAGAGAGAGAAAGTGTAGGTATTTTGCAAGGATTTAATGTCAGACAGTGGAATAATACTGCCAGGATGTCGGCAGCACATCCTTCGGTGGTGGTGTCAGTTTGTCTGGCTCTAATTGTTGTCTTCAGTCGTATCTTAACACCCAAGTGTGGACCTCTCAATCTTCAGACTTGCCAGCAATAAGATGTTGTTAACGGTACTTCGGTGCTTTCCGCTCTGTAGCGTGAGGTGAAAAGACCATTTCTTGAAATTTTAAGAGTGTTGGTGTGTAGAGATTGTGTGCACGTAACTGGCTTTCATCACTTCATCTGTGGCTTTAGCTATGTCTGTGGCATGAAAGTAGTAAAGTGTGTACATTAAAAAAAAAACCAACTTGTGTGCGCTTGTATTTCCAGCATAATTGCAAGCGTAGCATTGAGTCAAAGTTTTGGCTAGCTGAAAAGGACCGAAACCATGAACCTTTAAGTTATGTGGTTGAGGCGGATTTGTTAGCAGATTCAGGGTATTTCCGTCAGTGGTACTGGTCACTAAATTTAGTGAGGATAATCGTGCGAAGGAAGACAGAAATCCATTCTAGTTACCATCTGTTTCTCTTTGCCCTGTACCTCCTGGGCTGCAGTCCCTTTCAAAATAATACTGCAGATACTCAATTTGAAGAATGTAATAATACAATCGTGATTATGTTTATTAAGAAGTCTTGCTTTGCTGCCTGGGGGGTTAGGGAAAGGGTGTAACAATCTGGACTCAGTTGTCTTTGAACGTTTTTAGCGTGAATTCAGCAATGCTGATGTTTGGTTTCATTCATTCTTCCATAATTTCTGCGACACTTGAAGGTTGAGCATTAGCCGGCACCATTATTGTTTTAATGCCTTGGTATACGTTCCTTGCAGTACATAGGATTCTTTAACTGTAGATTGGCTTGCTGTAATTCTTTAAAATGGAGACTTGTTTCCAGCTTTATTACATGTACGTATCTTCCCTTTATTTTGGTGTTAATAACATAAATGTTTCAAACTTTGCATGTAATTTTAAACAGCTTTAATTAACATACTTTTGCTTTTTTGGCTTTGAAATGTTTCTAAAGGTTCTTTTGTCTTATGTAGCAGCTTGAAAAGTTGTCAAAGATGAAAGCTTGTGAAGGATTAAAGCATGTGACTTGAAACTTGATGTTCAGGCTCAGGAATTAGTAATATTAAAACAAAGTGTGGGTTTTGCAGATTAAGACAAGTCTGCAGGGTGAGCTGGAGAGGTCAGGCTCACCTGAAGAGCATAGAACTATCAGTTATGTAAGCCCTATTTTGGAACAGGGAAGAGGATAGGGAAAAATAAAGTAGTGGGCAGACTTTTAAAAGGAACGCATTTTTCTTTAGAACCATACCAGGTTAGAGTTTTTTTTCCAAACACTGCAGTTACTAGGTTAGCTCAGATCACAGGATATGCAGGGCTTTAAAGGCTGAATGATTCAGGTGTTTGTCATTTGTGGTGCCTGAGGGTATCTTGGGACCTGAAACATGCCTGTCAGCCCTGGCTGATGAGTTCTGAGTGTCTCGGGCAACTTCAAACAGCACTGGCTGCCTGCATCTATGCACCTGAACCGCCCTCTGAGAAGTGGAAAAACTTGATCCAGAAACTACTGGGTAAAAGTCTTTGACCTAGTTTTGGCAGGAAGGCTCATCCATGTTAGGGCTTTCCCCTACTCCCCCGTATAATGACTGTGGCTGCCCCAGTCTGTAATTCTGTCTGTATGAGCAGTTGCAACCTCCTCAGTACTATTCCAAGAAAGCTGCAATAAAACTATTTGTCTGTAGCACACTGCAAACAGAACCCTACCAAAATATTAAACCTCGGAGAAGCCTGTCTGCATAGTGTTGTATTTGGAGAGCATCAAGTGACTTCTGGTGCTTGTGATCAGCTGACCACGTTCACGCTTTGTTGTGGACACTTCCTTCTCTGAAAGCATTTTCCAGAGCTCTGACCGAGTTAAAGAGCAGTAAACAGGCCCCTCCGCCCCGGGCAGCTTCCTGTGCAGCTCTGCTGACCCAGCAGCTCAAGTTGCTCGACGTCAGCGTTCCAGGTCCGTTGCTTCTCTTGAGCTGGCAGAGTGTGTTTCTGTGGCTTAGGAAGTGTAGAGGGTGGGAACTCTGGTATCATTGCAGTTCAGTGGTCAGGCTTGCTGTGAGACGAAGATGGAAGGCAGTATTTCCAGCTTCTATAAATGAGCAATTTTTATACTTGAGTGAAGCTTATCATATCTGCAAAGGATCTACCCTGGAGCAGTTGCACTTTCTGATACTGGTTTGACATGCTGCAAGCTACAGTGGCTTCCCAAGTAGCAGCTGTATGAAGTTTTATTGTGATTACTTAGCAGTTTCCTGCATGGCTTTTTTTTTTTTTTATATATATGTGTGTGTGTGTGTGTATGTGTTCTTTCTTTCACTGAATGCATTATCTTTTCTCTGCTTTTGAACCTTGAGGAGGAAGCCCAGTGCTCTTCACATGGAAGCCCGCATGCAGTCCTAGTATGCACAAGTGTTCTGACTGCCAGCACCATTATAATGGAGCACTGGTCTTACGTGCTGAAATAGATGGCCACATAGGAAATAGATATATGAAATATATATATATAACATATATATATATATGTAATATAGAAGAAAAATCTTTATATTGCTGCTTTTTGTGACCAAGAGAGTTCATGGTTGTTTACTAACTCCATAGTGCTATGTTCTCAGAACTTTGGTTCTTTGCTATGTTACTCACAAGACATCAGGAGAAGCAAATGAAATTGTAAGCAGCATCTTCATCTGCCTTTAATTCTGTGCAGTGGCAGTGCAGTGAGGCTGGGGGGTGTAGGGTCTTGTTTAACATTGCACATGGGCTGAGCTTGCAAATTCAGTTTTCTTGCTGGTAGTTATTCCCGAAGTGTCCCAGCTCAGGTATGTGAATTGAGGCAGGAGATGCTGTATTCTGGACACAGAAAGCTGTTCTGTTGAACTACTTAACATGCAGCTGTTGTCCCTCTTGCTCTGGAGGTTACCAGTGCAGGGAGTAAACTTCTTGAGACAATACCAAGTCCCCAGTCCTTTGCTTCTGTTTTTAACTGAGAGTGTGATCACAGCGGTTACTGATGCTCCAGCCCAGCTTCCTCACTGAGGGCGTCTGATGTGGGACCTTTCAAGCCTGGCTGGGGTGTTGCATCCATTCTGCACGAAAGGAAGAGCAGAAATCCAAACAGCAGATCCTGCTGTGCTATTTTCAGAAAAGAAAGAGGTGAGTTTGTTGTTCTTTTTTCTTTTTGAAGAGATCAAAACCTGCTGGAACATAGCAGGAAATTGTTTGCACAATAAGCAATATCCTAGCAGCAACCTTCATATTTAGTTTTTGGCCTAGTGAAATTTTTTGTAGGGTAAAGCTGGAGAATTTGCCAAAGGTTTCTAAGCTCAGATTAGAGGGTGGAGACTTGGCCAGAACAAAGATCTCTTTCTTTTGGATCTATATAGCTTGACTTACTGATGCTCTATAATCTTTCGGCAGATTGTAAGTACCAAGTCTTTCACTGCTCTGAGTATAGAATATTAGGGTTGTGATTTATTTGCCCAATGGAAGACAGCTTCAATTTGAAGACTAAACTCTTTAGAAAGGATTGTCCTACTTGCAACAAACAGAAAGCACCACGTTTGTACAGACACTTGTTGCTTTTCTTTATGAACCCTGTCAAGGAAACTGAGTTACATAGGTTTTTTCCTAGCACTTTAGATGCATCCATCATCCTAGTACTGGCCAGGTGCAACGTCTTTGTTTTCGAACTGCTTTAATCTTGATATGGAAAAGGTTAGAACAAACAGTAGACAAACTCAAAATTTTGAGTATCAGGATGAAAATATTTCCTCCTTCTAAAACGACACTTA